AGAGAACAACTTGATGTGACTCGATTTTTGGTGGGAYTGAAATCTGAATATGAACCAGTACGGGCTCAGATACTAGGAGAATTAGCTCTCCCTTCTTTAGACGAGGTATTTGCTCGACTCCAGATGACTTCTATCGGATCTACTGAGAACTCTAATATCTCAGATAGATTTGCCTTTGCTGTGTCGAAAGGCCGTGGTGTTAGAGGTGGAGCTCGGGGAGCTCAGTCTGGCCGTGGTGGTAGTAGTGGTCCAATGTATGGCCGAAGTGGCAATTGTGGGTCTACTTATAATCATGGTGGTGGTCGTACTGGGGGCAGAGATTCAGGGGGAGCCCGTGGTAGAGGACGTGGCTTAGGCCCGAGGAGGTGCACTCATTGTGGTATGGATGGACATACCATTAACTATTGTTATGATCTTCATGGTCCACCCTCAACCTGGGCCAATCATGCTGTGACTAGTGACACCAATTCCAGCTTTAGATAGGAGAATCGTTCATCTGATCAGATACCTCCTACATCCACAGATGGTCCCGTGAAGGAGATGGTGAGTGTTCCCCGTGATGAATATGAGAGGTTTATCCAATCCACATCACAACAGAACACGACTACTTTCGCTCACTTAGGTATGGCTTGTTTGGCATCCACACCCAATCCCTGGATCATTGACTCTGGAGCCTCCGATCACATGACTGGAACTCCAGGTGTGTTTTCTTCCCTATCTCATTGCTCAACATCACAATCCGTCACCCTTGCTAATGGTTCCACATCCTCAATTTGTGATGTTGGTAATGTTGACCTAGACCCTGTATCCCTATCCTCAGTTTTGTATGTTCCTAAATTGCCTTTTAATCTTATGTCTGTTAGTAAGCTGACCAAATTACTTAATTGATCCATTACTTTTTATCCTTCTATGTGTGTTTTTCAGGATCTCAAGGCGGGGATGAAGATTGGTGGAGGGCATGAAACTGGTAGACTGTATTACCTTGACGGTAGTGGAAAAACTTCAACGGCTCTCCAGTCATCCCTTTCTCCTCTCCAGTGGCACTGTCGATTTGGTCATCCGTCGCTGAAAGTTTTGAAGTCTTTGGTTCCGTCTTTGAGTCAACTTTCTATTTTGGACTGTGAGTCGTGTCAGTTTGGGAAACACCATCGTGTTTCCTTTAGTTCTAGGGTTGATAACCGTGCGTCGAGTCCTTTTTCTTTGATTCACTCCGATGTTTGGGGTCCTTATAAAGTGATGTCATATAACGGGTATAGATATTTTGTCATTTTTTGTAGATGATTTTTCAAGGATGACGTGGTTTTATCTAATGAAAGAAAGAAGTGAGTTGTTTACCATTTTTCAGAAATTTTATGCTGAGATTTGTAATCAATTTGGTATTCACATTAAAGTTTTCCGTTCTGATAATGGCCGTGAATATTTATCCTCATCATTTCAAGAATACCTGGACCAACATGGCATTATACATCAGACCTCATGTACCTACACCCCACAACAAAATGGGGTGGCTGAGAGAAAGAATCGCCATCTCTTGGAAACAACACGATCCCTCATGCATCACATGAATGTTCCCAAACCCATTTGGAGTGATGCGATGCTTACCTCTTGCTTTCTGATTAATCGGATGCCCACGTCCATCCTTGCTGGTCATTCTCCGTTTACGGTCTTGTTTCTCGCCTTGTCTCCGTTTCCTCTTACTCCTAGGGTATTTGGGTGTGTCTGCTTTGTCCATAATCTAGGTCCCGGTAACGACAAGTTCAATGCCCGTTCTCTCAAGTGCATCTTCCTTGGCTATTCTCGGACCCAGAAAGGGTATAAGTGTTACCATCATAATTCTCGACGGTCCTTTGTGTGTGCTGATGCCACCTTCTTTGAGTCTATTCCGTTCTTTTTGGGGTCCGGTGATACTTCCTCCTCCTCGTCACCTCCGCCTCTTCCACTTCCCGTTGCCAACCCTCTTCCCCTTGTTCCAGCCGTGACCAAATCCTTGCCTCCGGTGCCACCACCTATTGAACGCCCACCTATCCGTCAAGTGTATACACATCGCCCACGCGCACCAACTACTACTCCTTCGGCTACATCACCGTCGACAGATCCGGCTCTAGACCCGAACCCAACATCTGATCTTGATCTTCCCATTGCCTTGTGGAAAGGTAAACGCACTTGCACCCTTCATCCTATTTCTAATTATGTTTCACTTACTCACCTTTCCGCCTCCCATTGCCAATTTGTCACCTTGTTATCATCAGTTGTTGTCCCTAAGGATGTCCAGGAAGCCCTTGCCTCTCCAGGGTGGTGCCATGCAATGGAAGAAGAACTTTCAGCCCTTCATCATAATCATACTTGGGACCTCACCATTCTTCCTCCTGGGAAGCAAACTGTTGGTTGTAAATGGGTTTATACAGTTAAGTATCTGCCTGATGGTAGTGTTGAACGCCTAAAAGCGCGATTGGTTGCAAAAGGGTACTCCCAAACCTATG